TGCAGTCGCTTTACGATGACGGTGCCGCTTTGCTTCTCGCTGCCCAAGGACTCCACGTCGATCCGATGGATGGTCGCATCCCGTCGTCGGAGCGGGATTCGATGGACTCTCTCGTGGTGGGACTCGCTGCAAATGCCCACATTACCGTACAGAGTCTCGAGGCTCTCCTAGCCGCTGAGTTTGACCAGTCCGATATCAGCCAGGGTGGCTATGTAGCGCCTATAGAGCTGCAGAAGTCGCATCCGGTGGACATCCAGGGCGAGGATGTTGTGGATATGGAGCTAGCATTGAGCCGGCCGGGTATCAGGGCCATGAAGCCTGTGGACTCGGCACAGGCGTCGTCTACGCCATATCACAGCTCATCACAGTCATCAGATGTATTGCCGGATTTGCAAGGTAGATCGCGTTCGGGCAGCCTTGTCGACCCCGTAACGCCTACGTGGCCAGAGCAATCGGAGTCGGGTACACTTGTCGCTCAGTCAGCGTTAGGGGCAGAGTCACCAGACCCCCTGGCGGGCGTCGATGAGGAGGATCGTGAGTATCCCACATTGTGTGGGACGCATACATGAGCCAACGCTTTCGTCCAGCTTCTCCACCATCCAAATCGCCGCCCAGGGCAGCAGCTGCGCGGAAGCTAGTGAAGCTTCTCGGAGAGGAGGCACCGCGGCACGTACTTGAGAAATACAATGCCGACTCTAAGCCTTGGTATCTGCGGCAAAACTATGACCCGTCGCAGATTCTGATAGACCCGGACGGTGCTGTGAGGGCCGGCGCACCCGCAGCGCTGATAGAACGACTAACTGCCCACGAATATATGGGTACGTGAATCTCATGGAGGCGAATGAATGGCTGTCTAAGGAGTGTCCCAGATCCCACGTTCAACCAGAACTTCTTGCTCACTTTCAAATCATTCTTGACAGTCGACGAACTGTTTGATCTTCTTGTATCCCGATTTTCCATAGAGGCACCAGATGGATTAGCTCCTGCTGAATCAGATGAGTGGAAAAAGATGAAGCAGAAAATAATCCAGGCACGGTATGGCATCTGTTCTGACGCACGCTCGATTCCTTACCCATAACAGGGTTTTGAACATTTTCAAGACCATGGTCACTGAAGACGGTATTCTCGAAAAGGAGGACATGGGTATCCTCGGCCGCCTAAAGGAGTTTGCGTCCCGTGAAGATGTTGCCAACAGTGCTGCGAAACGGCTTCTTATATTCATCGAGCGTGCCGTAAGCCGTCGTTCACCTGTCTTCGTTTGCGTCTAATTTTGTGTAGCAACGAGGTGAGTACGCGACGGTCAAGATCAGTCCAGCTCCGCTATCTCCACCGCCTCCGGTGTTGCCTAGAAGTTGCAAAAAATTGAAGTTGCTCGATATTGAACCCGTGGAGATTGCGAGACAGCTGACGCTCATGGAGTTTGCGATGTATAAGAAGATTAGACCTATGGAATGCTTGTTGCGATCTAAGGAGACAAAGCCGGGGAGAAATAGCGACAACTTTTCGTCCATCATTCAGCTGAGTAATAAGGTTAGCTTTGTTTGTGTTCTGGAAAGCTTTTGGTGCTCATCGATATCGCAGATCGCGCACTGGGTTGCAGAGACGGTGCTGGAGAAAGAAGACCCGCGTGAACGGGCTAATATCATCAAACATTTCATCAGTACTGCCGAAGTGTGCCGCTTGCGTTTGTCGCCTAAAATGAGTTTGATGGCTGATTTTGCTCGTTTTATAGCGTTGTCGTTTCATGCAGAACTACTCCAGCATGGCTGCTATCGTTTCAGGCTTGGTGAGACAGCCCATAAGGCGGCTGAGGAGGACGTGGGAACGGGTCAATGCTCGATATATGACGCAGCTCAGAGACTGCGAGTCCACCCTCGACACCAACAAGAACTTTAACAACTACCGCTCCACGTTGGCAAGGATAGCTCCTCCTTGTGTTCCGTTCATTGGTGAGTCAGCATGACAATTTTGTCATCAATCGATGTTAACGATTCGGCAGGTGTATACCTTACGACGTTGACGTTCATCCACGACGGGGCGGAGGACAAGCTAGCTGGGATGATCAACTTCCGCAAGCGGCAGAAGGCAGCAGAAGTGATCCAGGATATCAAGCGCTGGCAATCCAAGCCGTATAATCTCCAGGCGGTCGCTTCTGTCCTATCTTTCCTGGAGGAATGCGTTGGCAAGTATAGCGACGGGGTGGATTACGCGGATCAATTCTGGAACCTCAGCTTGGAACGCGAGCCGCGCGAGCGAGAGGACGAGAAGATGGCTAGATTATTGCAGGAAAGTGGTTTCCTCTGACATTTCTTGGCAGTCTTGCTTCCAGTGCAAACCAAAGTACGGCACCGTGTGGGGCTCTAGCGGAATGCGTGCAGGGTGATGAAGCGTGTCTGGGCTGCGTATGACGATGGTGCGGAAGAGACGAGTGCGGCACCTGTGCGCGAATGCTTTGGAAACGAGCAAGCAGGCGCATGGAGTTCTGCGATCCATCTCGGCTGCGGCGTCGTCGAAGATCGGGTCCAAGATATCGAGTGGGACGACGGGTGCTGGGCTGTACTGAACAATCTCGTGCTGTAGATACATTCAAGACGGCGG